TAGGCTCCCTAAACAGGTTTAAAGTTTTGCTAGAATTTCTGCAAACGTTGTTTAGCCAAATGATATGTTGGCACAGGAAGAGACCAAGGCTTCACATTGTGAAGATTGACAGAACTACCAATCAAAAGGTTCTTTTTTAATATGCTTCATATTTCTCTGAAGAAATAGCCAGGGGAATTCTTTGGGAGAAAGAAGATCACATAACTTTCTGAGCTGATCATGTTGGCATTTCTTCTCAAATTTGATGAAGAAGCTGTTGGGTTTTGAAGTTAAATAATTTGCAAGTTTTTGTGGAGGACAAGTTTCTGTCAGCAGCCTAGGCATGGTGAGCACAGTTGATATTCCTTGTGAGTGAGTAGGCATGGTGAGCACAGTTAATATTTGCTGTGAGTGAGTAGGCATAGTGAGCACAGCTAATATTTCAACTTCTTCGCATTTGGCCATTTTAATCTTCCTGCACCCCTTTTTAATATTTATAATTAAAATTTTCCTTCAGGCATATGAAGTATGGCTGGGTGAAGGATATGGTAGTTTGTAATATCAGGCTTATTTGGAAAAATTAGACTGTTGCAAAGGAGATTTCATCTTCACAAGGATGATTACTATAGGAAGCATTCTGGTTGCTCAGACCAGTAGGGCACAATTGCTTCCACTGTTGCCTGCTAGGGTGGTATATTACCATGACTATGTTTTATGGTCAAATTTGCTAGATTTTAATTCATACATGAAGAGGAATTGTCCTTGTCTCTAATATTGTAACACTACTCATGTTAATTTTCTTTCTTTGCAGCCTATTTAAGGATCATTCAGGTACAATTCTTATGCTTTGCTAAAGTTTGCTCTGATTTTTTCTCATAAGAAAACAACTTTAATTCAACTTAATGTAGTCTGGTAGTATAGCTCTACTTGTCAATTTCTACTTTTGAAAAGAAGATCTACTTTGACAAGTGAGCTTTATAAATGTATAGACACAATTTTGTACAACTTGGAACCCAACTTTTTCTTTTTTCATAATGCCCCATGTCAAGATATTTTGATTTACTATAATGGAGGCATCTATTTTAAAAATCTGTTACATGTTAGGTAGTCTCTAGCCTGGTCCATGACATCTAACATTAAAAAACTCATCTAGGAGAGTTAACTTCTTTTAACATTCAAAGATAGATTGTGAGATGCAAGCTTCAGAAGAAGCTGAGGTTGAAAGAATGTCAATGATCAGATGGGCGACACCAGACGCTTCATGCTTGGAGGAGACAAATAAAATACAATAGAAATTGACTTGAAGCAATTGAACAACTTCATCTTGTGTAGGTATGAATTTAAAATCTTGATTAAAAAGACCAGTTTAGTACTTTTTTAGAATATTCTTAAGCACGAAAATTAAGCATACAACAAAAGTTAGATATTTAAATTTCATAATTTGTTTAGTCGTCAATTAATTAATATGTAGAGGAAACTACCTTAACTAATGAGCCTAATGGTTCACCACCCAAGCCTAAACTGATAGGTTGGGAGTTCAACTCCTGCCTGTGGCTTGGAAACCTACAATTTCTCATGTTTGTAAAAATAATAATAATAATAATAGTAACGTGCAAGGATAATGTAATTGCTCACTTCTTGATTCAATTGCCACTGATGAAGTTCAAGGAAAAGAAAAGAGCCATAAGAAACAATCCTATCAGATGGATGCATGCACATGGAGAAGACACATGCATGTTTAGCTTCCCAAGTATGGTTTGGTATGTCAAGCTTTTCTACTGATCAACCTATTTGTAATTTTTGACTTTGGAAAACCGATGTTTGGTTTAATTGATAGGTTTTAACTAACTAATGTAATAGGAATTAATTGGAATATGGATTCATTAATCTTGTATTTTGAGAGGTAAAAGCAATAGAATTAGAAGCAATCTCATTATTAGCTTTGGCTATTTTCATGATGAAGCAACGATCATTACAAAATAAGCAGCTACGAAAGCCTAGTCATTGTAACATTCATCCTAAAATGAAAACTCATATGATCTACGCTCGTAAACTTTGCATTCATCATCAGCAAGGTTTGTCTTGCAGAAATCCTCCAAGGGATCACCACTTCGTGCAGCAAGCATGCTAGGCCACTTGCTTGCTACAAGATGTGCTTAATCAACTACCCATTGGCTACATATATCCATCATATTCCTGTTAGTAATTGGTAAGGCACAAATAAGATTATAGTTAGAAACAAGAGGGTTTTAAGGAATGTATCCTGACTTGTAACCCCATTCATTGTCATACCAACCCACCACCTTAACCATGTCGTCTCCCATTACCATGGTTAATGAAGTGTCAATGGTAGAAGAAACATCGCTGCACCTGAAGTCCACTGACACAAAAGGAACATCATAGACGATCAATATGCCTTCAATGGCTCCTCAACTGCCTTTCTAAAGGCAGCATTGACATCCTCAGCTGTAATCCTGTTCTCAACATTCACAACAAGGCCAATAATTGAAACACTTGGTGTTGGTACACGGAGTGCAATACTGTTGAGCTTGCCCTAGGGTTGGGGTAGAACAAGATAGTTGACCTTGGCTGCATCGATACTTGTTGGGAGTTGGGACTATGTTCAATGCTGTGGGCCTAGCTCTTCTCAAGTCACAGTGTGAAGCTAGTGTCCAAGAGTCTCTGCACAATCACAAGCAGCAATTTAGCCTTTTCTGTTCAAATAAATCTCCAACTTTTTTTCTATTGGAATTCATTTGGAATTCAAATCTCTTTGAATTTGCTTAAGCCCTATATCCAAGTGGTATTTTGGTCAGTGCAAGTACCTGGTCTCCAGTTTATGAATAGGTCATTGTCATTGTTTCCTTTACAAGTCCTGCAGATCAGTTTCAATAAAGTCAAAGAAACTTCATAACTAAGGTTATATGAAATTTGCCCAGTGATAAGTTGTTATTGAATAACAAATCAATAGAAACAGAATGAAAATGTGAAATGTTTTCCAAATATTTATTGGTCCTTAACCTTTAGTCTTCTTGAAAATTTATCCCAACCTTTAAAATTTTTAACATTTGATAATTCACCTTTTTAAATTGCAGAATAGTTCCTTTCATCATTTTCTTTGGTTTAGTTAACTCTTAACACCAATAAGAACTTAATTGAATACATATACATTATTTGTAAGAGGTAAAACCTCAATTCCATATCAAAATAAAAGATTCAAACATTTTTTTTTATTAAATAGTTAACATGAATCTTGAAAATCATTATTTTGAAACCTGACATGATTTAGTTAGTTTAACCAATTGAGCTGAAACTAATTCTAAAAAAGGGTTGAGTTATGATATTAACTTGTTAGATATCAAAATTGGTTAAACTTAGTCAAAACTCACGCAAACCTATTTAAACTTGATAAAATCCAATTGATCCGAACCAATTCAACTTTTTTTCTTTTACGAATTTACTTTTTTTTTCTCTTTAATTTTTATATTTATTTATTTAATGGATAATATAATAATTAAATTGTAAAAATTATTTAAAGTCAAATCACACAATTAATAAATGAAAAATTTTTAATTAATTTAAATGTAATT